GTGACAGAAGACAACTATGGCGCCTGGTAAAGGGCTGACTTTTTCATCAATTTTTGTTCCTCCGGCGAAGCTTCGACTAGAGAATTTCTACCTATTTTACGGGCTGTTTGTTCTCTCATTTTAGCGTTAAGTAGGACTGTAGTTTTGATTCGACTGTGTACGGCCCAAGTGTTGTAAAAGCGCACTGTGCGTGCACTAAAGAAATAAATAAGTAAATAAGTACGGTCACGACCCCCGGAAACGATGAGGCATGCGACGCGGCGTGGATTAGAGCGCAGCCACGGTGGCCTATTCCCACTAATGATGCCATCCTGAGCCGGCTAAACTAGGTAGGAAGTCTGTCCTGGCTGCGTTTCAAACCACGCCCCGTCACACGCTTGATCGTTTGCGGGGATCATGACAGTATGTCACGGTAATGTCGTTGACCACATTTTACGCGGTGCACTGTGATTTCCCTTGAATAATTTTGAAAAGAAATAGGCATGGAGAAAGCGAGTATTTCTTCGAGGGGATAAATTTTTTGTATGCAATACTTACGAGAAATAGGCGAGGGGCGAGTAGAAAAGATCAGGACGCCCGCAAAGCCACCTGGTTAGTGCTGGAAAGGAGGAAGAACAACGCGGGTGAAAGCAGAAAATGAAACATGGATAAGGGACACCTAAAGTCTTGTTCGCTGCGGATGCTGAGGCCTTCCAGAGGGGCTGGGTTTGGCACGGCGTCAGACAGTTCTCCACTAATTGTACAGTCATTATCCCCCTCCTCCCCTTCCACCCCGATAAGGCGTATGACGCGGACAGCTGCAGCCGATCAGATTTCACGACACAAGCTGTATCGGCTGAGGAATTGGGCTAATCTAACTGTCGAAGAAAGGGAGCGCCTACTGGCTGCGACCCGCGCGCGCCATCACATGGCACCTATCGTTGCAGGATCGACGAGCTAAATGTCTCCCTGCCATCTCTTGACAGCTTGCGAAAAACAGGCCACGGCAGAGCCTGACGAACCCCCTACCACCTTCTGAACGCCCGCAAAGCGTGTTCCGCAGTAAAGGAGACTGTAACGCAGGGTATCAGGCATGGGATGTCGTAATGTCGGTGGGAGTGAACGAACACCCCCCCCCCGCTTCGAATGGGGTCCAGGGCACGAGCCCTCCACCTTTTGCCCTCTTCCGACTACACGGACCTTCTTGCGCCGACGGGACGACCGGATGTGTCATACAGTCGGCGAAAAAATTGCGAGCGAGAGGGGGGGCGGGGGAGGGGCGGGGGTGTACACTTACTATGCAACGTATATATCCCACGGGCGTACAAAATGCATATAGTGCATATAAAAAATTAATACGACCCCCCCTTTTCCACAAAAAAAATCAACTATCAAAATAAATTGTCTTAATATAATAGCGACCCCCGCCCCTCCCCACAGCCCAAGTACACCCACCCCCCCACGGTTTGACACACGGACGATGCTTTACCTGGCTGCTGTAAAACCCGATAAGGTGTCTATAAAAGTGGTGTTCAAATAAAATTGAAAGCTATGGGAGCATTCCCAAGATCCAAGATCTAGTCCCTTACCGGAAATGTATGAGATTGACAAGGTGTTTCTCTGCTTTAGAGTCCTCAGCCGTTCCAAGAAACGTTCTTTGCCGTATGAACGTTTGCGACGATGGCGGCATATCTGACATATCGTACGTAACTACGAACACTTTCACCGCCGTACCCTGAGGATTGAAGAGCGTCTGAAAATTGAAAACTGAAAAAATTCTGAGGAGTTCTTTAACTGCCGTACCTTGCAACTAAAGGCAGTGGGTAAGATTGCTGGAGGCGGACGATTGGAATTACGTCATTGGTGGAAGGGCTCTGAGAGGGCTTTGACCACACCCACTCAGCCCTTCCCTCAGTGACGTTTGCGACAATCGCCCGCCCCCAGCAACCGTGCGCACTGCCTCTAAACTATAAAACATACAGCTTGAATTGTTCCCTGCTTTGGTATGCGATAGCCGCGCTTTCCCAATGATTCCAACGAGCAAACGCCCTAAAAATAGAAGAATAAAGTTGAAAGCGTTGACACTGAAACGACATTGTTCTGAACCAATGAGCTCTACTATCCGGTATCGCATTCTCCGTTTGCACTATAGATGAGCATTGTGGCCTGTTAAGATAGAACAGGCAAGCAAGGCAGTTACAATGTCAAAGTGGGAGGACAGGCTGCACCAAGTAGTCCCGCCCCCAAAGCGAAAGGGGGGTCAAAGCGTTATTCGGATGGGCGGAGACAAAAAACGGTTGTCCTTTCCTCACTATTGCTCTGGTGGTTAAGAAAAGAGGCAAGTGAGTGAGGAAAACACAACGTTTCTGAGTCTCCGCCCATACAATCAGTGGGGAACCTGCCTTCGATATGGATTCAAAGGTGATTCAGCGCTGTTAGGCTTGGTGGGGGCATTTCATTGTATTCAACGACGTTTTTACAGGCGGCCCTGTAAACACCTGTAAGCCCTTGCATCCAAAGCGGTCCATCTATACTATTTCGCAGGTTCACAAGGCTTCATCGGTTAATAACTGAAACAAGGAACTGGCGAAAAGGAAAAACCCCTCCTCCCAAGCCGAACTGCGTCCATGACTCCAGATTTTACCAACCACATAACCTGTAAGGAGCTTACCAAATAAGGCGATGGAGCCGTTTCACTATCGTTAAGATCGAAGAAATAGGCGGTGACAGTCAATGAAGTATGTGGAGAAGAAAAGGCACCAGATGCGGCTAGAATAGAACTGATTACGCTCACTTCAATTTTGCAATCAATCAATGGTAAATAAAAGCAGGAATATTTTCTGAGTATAGCAGGAAGGTTTCCTGACTGTTCAGGATTGCCGGGTGGGCGGAGTCAGGAAAAACGTTACTGGAGCGCCCTTCTCGTTCCCGCTCCTCCACAGAAACGGAGAGAGAAGAGGCGTTCCGATAACGTCGTTTCCTGGCTCCGCCCGGCCCTTAAAACCCAAATGGCTTGAAAACAAACAGCAACATCTCCACAAAATTTAGAGTTCCAGCCCACCTACCTAATTGCAATTTAAAACCATCAAGTTTTTTCACGGGATCTAGTCGACCATTTAAGGCGCTTTCTTCGAAATTCCCCAAAAGACTGCCCGGTTGATGGCGTTGAAGGCGCGTTTCCGGCAGTACAATATCGGAAGCTGACAGGCTGCTAAAAAGGACAAACATGAGAAACACCGTATTAGTCAGGGTACAGCATCGTTGGGAGAATTCCATCACGAGACCCCAACGGCTGCGGGAAAGGACTAGAACTATGGTCATGCGGTTAAGGACCGGTGGGAGACGTGTGTTTGGGAATATGTGGGAAATTGGCTAAAACAGGACTGTTAAGGTATTTTCTATTACATGCTCACACAAAATTTTGAACATGGCTCAACCTGGGGCCACAAAGAATAAGCTTTCGAGCAACCCTAAAATTCGTGACGTGGTTGGATGCACGGCGCATCCTGGGGTTGACCAATACGGATTATTCCACTCTTCACAATAGGATGCGCTCCTCTTCAGTAAATTCCGATGCCTCTGTTGCGCCGTTGAGTGCAAGCCGTATGTTGTCTACTAATGGTATCTAACGCACCTCACAGGGTCTTTGGCATTGATTTTCTGCTCTGGTAATTAAAGTAAAGGGATGTTGGCAGAGGACTTACTGTCTGATCCTGTCATCTTTGCCGATCATCTTAATCAAATTTAGTCCATGGTTTCGAAAACATTCGCATCTAATTTATCGCGCATTTTCCAAGTCTAAAACAAACCACGGGCTTCGCTATCGCCACCCAGTCCAGATGGTCCGTCGCCGAAATTCTCTGCCATTGAAAGCCTAGATGATGAGGTAGTAACTGCCTAGCTTTCCAACAAAGTAGTCAGTTGCCTAGCAAAAATTTTCAGCGTCCTGCTCGTCGAGTACTGTCCGCCTGTACGTTGTCATCTGAACAGGAAAGTCGGTACGATTCTCAGGAAATCGATCTCTTGGCCAGTCGCCTTACAAACGATCCAAGGCGAACGAGGACGTCAACGGACAAAAAGTGGCGGTTCATTATTCAATAAAGTAAGTAAAGCTCCAGTTTTGTAATTACGAAAGGCAAAACATATAAGGACTCTTTTAAGATCACCGGACTGCCATTACATTCGAGTCCAGCGCCTTTATCTCGTCAAAGAAAGTACGCTTTGTGGAGAGATTCGTAAAGAAACTGTACTGATACGGGGGTACAGCATCGTAATGTGTAAAATGGTGGTGTCAATTAGACC